CCCCCCCAAATAAAAACCTACCCCGCAACCCCCCTTACCTCTAAGTACCCCCCGAAATATCAGTTAGTATTTCAGTCAATGCAAATAGATTCAACAATTAACACAGAAACAAACAGAAAACAACCACCCAACTCTTCAAGCAAAAAATAAATTAAAAGAAACGAACGCAAGAAATGAAATTGAAAATGAGAACAACAATGAAAGATATAAAATCACAGACCTGACAAAAATGGACACGAAACGTCGCGCACACGATGTGCATCACTCATAACTGAAAATGTACATGAAAAATGTGATGTACATAAAAAGTCGTGAACGACGCGAAGTACCTGTCACTAAAATCACAATTGAAAAATGTAACATTATACAATGTATCCTACTAGTAACTTAAAGGCACTGGTACCACATGTCGAAAAGAATACAAGAATTAGTAGTCTACAAGTCGTGTCATATCTGCCAAGATGCTGTACTCAGTCTGCTGCAACCAACGCTACTCTACGAACACCCTACTGGTACCAAAATCATACACACCAAAAACGAAGGAAACAACAACTACAGCACACACACTACCACTGAGTGCCTAACAATACTAAGATAAGACGACACGAAATAAAAAGAAAGGACCGCACAACATGATGAAGTACAATGCGAGTAGGGGAAAAGTGGAGTGTTGGCCTCACAGTGAACGACCCTTCTTCCCCTTCCCGCTCTGTTTCCTCGTACCCCCTCAAGTGCCACACTCGGATGTCGACCTCCTCCTCCCTCGTGCAAATGAAGAAGTCTGCGCAGCGGAGCGTCCAGATGCACACGTCGGCGGGGGAGGTGGGGGCTCATCGTCGTCGTAGTCGTCATCACCACCAGAACCGCTCTCGTTCTCCTCCTCACCCTCCTCCTCGCCCTCATAGTCCTTGTCCTCCTCCCGCACTGCCGCATCCGCCTCAGGATCATCCTCCTCGACTATGTATCTTTTAAACGCAGAACGGGGGAATTAAACTCCCGTTGAATCCCGTTAAATTCAAAAAAATCCCGTTGAATTCGCGTTAAACGCGAAAATGGGCCGCTCCCGCGCTTTTCGGAAAAACGAAATTCATGCGCGGGGTCCGGAACACGTTGCCCTAGGCAAAATAATAAAATAAAAAAAATCCCCCCAACCCCTGAAGCACCTCCCATCCGCCCCCACATCTTCCAACCCCCAACGCCCCAGTTATGTGTGTGTAGGTGTGCTGTGTGTGCGCGTATCTGTGTATGTGTGTGTCTGCCATGAGAGTGTGTCTGTGCATGAATATGAATGTATGCGCGTGTGTTTGTGTATGTGTGTGTTTGTAAGTGTGTGTGTGTGTGTCTGTGCTTGCAAGTGTATGTGTGTGTTTGTAAGTGTGTGTGTGTATGTGTATGTGTGTGTTTGTGTATGTGTGTGTTTGTAAGTGTGTGTGTGTATATGTGTGTTTGTAAGTGTGTGTGTGTGTAAGTGTAAGTGTGTATGTGCCTGTGCGTGAGAGTGTGTATCGCCTTACTCACAACCTCGTTCCCCAACACACAGATTCCACTTGCACCCAAGGACCACCCTGCGCCACACCCAGCTTACAGCAGCGCAGCTCGGCTATGGCTGCCTGCTCCTTACTGCTCTCCCGTGAGCGCGTGAGTGTCAGCGAGCTACAGCATGGCAGCGCTTACGCAGCATGCGGCCAGCACCCGAATGCCCAATGTGGAGGCAGGCCCTTTGCTATATCGAAGTGGCCTGCCTGTGTTTAATCCCAGGAAGCTTCTAGTAGGCCCCGGTAGCCTTAGGCACAGCATGAATAAGAACAGGCCTTGGGCCTGAGGTGGTTGCATGCCCCCAACTGCCTTTGGCCTGTGTTTGGCCCAGTACCCGTATCAAGCCCAAGGCCTGCTTTCCATACATTCACACACAGGCGGCCCAAAGCGTGGGTTTCCTCAACCAGCTGACGCCAGACTCCTGCAACCTGCTAGAGGCCCAATTTTGTGTGTGTATGTGTGTGTGTTTTTCCTTTTTTTAATTTGCTTTTTATGGTTTTCATTTATTTTAAAATAAACGAAATTCCAAAAAAATAAAATAAAAAATAAATTGTTGTACATCTTTGAAAGATCTACAACCCTATATGTTTTATTTGTTTTTTTTGTTTTTTTTTTAGCCCTTAAAAAATTTGTGTGAAACCCTCATTAAAAACACTCATTTCATTTTAGTTTTTGTTTTTTCATTGTGTGTTTATGTTTTTGATTTTTTTAAAAATAGATTTAAGCATCAAAAAATAAAAATAAAAATACAGGGTTGTAGTCCTCAAACAAACCTACAACCCCATGGTTTTTTTTTTTTTTCGGATAATTCTCAGCCCACAAAAAAAATCAACCCAGACCCCGTTAATTCGCGTCCAACTCGTGTTTGAACGGGAGTTTAATGTGAATTCAACGCGCGTTGAATTTTTCAACGAGGAACCCGCGTTGAATTCAAAATCGGACACACAGCTCCTCGATGGTGACAGGGCCTCCTCCCTTCCTCAACACAACAACCCTCACACTAGCCTCTACAACCGTCTGCTCACGGCGGGATCCAGGATGCATCCCCAACCCCTCCACCCCCGGACTCTCTCCAAGCGCAGCGCCTCCGTCTGCAGCCACGGGGCATGGACGAGGAGGCACTCCACGCTTGTGTGGAGTCTGCTCATGCACAACACACGTCGCTGCTTTCAAAGCGTGCTCCAAGGTCTCGGTGGACACTCCTCTACCGCGACCTCGCTGAGGCTCACAACGTGATGCTGGTACCTCCCTCGCTGTGGTCGTCCTGGCGTTGGGGGGTCCCAAGCTCGGCTGAAGGCGTGCAGTGTGCTCCGTGACACCGCGGGTGGAATCCAAATTGATGTATGTCCTCCCGAATGTCGTGTCATACACTTCTCTCTGAACTGGTATCGTGTCACGAATCCTCGATCTCCCAGGCGTCTGTGGGGATCGAGAGCCTCTGCGTGTCGGCGACGATGATGGATCACCTACTCCTGGTCTAGGAGGAAGGTGTGGCATGTCTTCTGTACGTGGTGCTGTCTCCTGCACGCCACCCGAAACCCCTGGAACATCACCCACGGTACGTCCTCCGGTGGAGGTAGACCCTGACCACACAGGCGACGCAGGACCCCATGGAATCCAAGGGACCGCCTGCCATGGTGGATGATCGAGCCTCTGGTCGAAGATCCGCTCGTCCAATCGAGTAACATCGCGCACAGCATCTCTCGCCAAATCCTCTGCATCCAAAGGACGACGGACCTCCTGCGGAGCAAAGTGACTAGGAGGATGTGGAGGCACCACCACCGGCTCGGACCCCATATGCGTGATAACGGGCGGTGGCACACCATGCACCCCCACCTGAACCGGCTGCGACTGTCGGCCCTGAGTCAAGCGCAGGCGTGAGAACGGAACGACTGGACCTATAGCCCCCTCATCTCGCCGCCGTCCTCATCCACCGGCCCTCCACAGGAACATTCACCGCCTCTGGCCCACCCTGCAAAGCCTCATCATCCGCCTTTGCTGCCACTCCCTCCATAACGTCCTCCCCTGCCACCACCCCACCCTGCACACCATCCCCCCTATCTCTCTACGCCTAGCCTCCTCCAAGGCCCGTGCAAATGCCTGAGCACTCGGGTTACTCGATGCCATAAGTTGAGCCCTCTCTCACTCCATGATATCGCGTGCTGTATCTGGAGACTCCGCCTGCGTCCTCTCTCTCGGGGTCTGCGTCCTCGTCTCGTCTGCTGCATCGTCCCGTGATGGCGCCCTATCCGTCGATGTCGTCCAACCGCAAGTAGGTGGAGCGCTTATCGACAAGTCGAAGTTGAAGTGCGTCCCCATCTCTGACACTGTCTCCCCTGTGTGAGCAGAAATCCCCGGGTCGATCGCCGTCCCCGGGGTAAACCCCCCCATGACAGGATCGACCTCCTCAGTGATGAAGCGCCGCATGAGCTGGTCATCGGTGTCCGTACCGTCATCGGCATTATGATCCATAGGAACGGCCTCCTGCGGCGCCGTTGCCGCTACCTCCTCCTCAACCGTCGTTTGTGGTGGCACCTCCTCCCCTGCTGTCGAGACTGCTGATGCCTCCTACGCCGCTGCTGCCACATCCCCCTCCTCCTGCAATACCCCCGGTGAAGGTGATCGTAACCTAAATTGTCGAACCACTGCCGATATATGGAGAAGCCCGTGCGGACGCAAGAAGGATGCCAACTTCTCCATCTCCGCCTGTGTAGTGGCCGGCTCAAGAGGTGAGACAGGGGTGGGCGGTGCAGGACTCGACGCAGGAGGTGGCTGAATGGCCGACTCTCACCCCGCAGGAGTAGTAGTCGACCTCCCCCCCTCTTCGCGGCTCGTGTCGGCATAAGAGGCCCCGCCTCTGTCAGCACGCACATCACCCGTGGAAGCCACCTCCCCGAAAGGGCCCCATAAATCCTCGTCCCCCCCTTCCATCTCCCTCTCTGCCTGGTTCGCTGCCCGCCGTGTGGGTATGTCCTCACCTCGGCGTCATCGGCCTCCTCATGCATCTCGTCGATCTCACTGGGGATGGGCAGCGCAGTGTCATCTACTCCCTCGGGTGCAGGCTCCTAATCCGAGTCATCGTCCCTGGGGTACGGACGGAAAACGCAAGCACGTCTCTCGAAAACGACATCAGCGGATGGCGGTGCGGAAGACCCGATGAGATCGTGCGTAATAAGCGCAACCTCCTCTGCAATCTCCGCCTCCGTCATCCCCTGGCGCGTGCCCGTACGCATCGGCTCAACCTCCAGTCCTGCCTGGCAGTCCAACATCCCCTCGTCACGCTGCCATGGCAGCACGTAACCGCATCCTGCCCACCGATACTTTGTCAACCACACATTTGCGGTGATCTCAACGAGTTGCACGACCTTCTCAAAGACCAACCTGTTGCGCTTCTTCGTGTTGATGCCCTCGTGGCTGCCCAGTTCCTCTCTGCTGGAAAGGTGCAAGACCACATGTGCATCACACGAAGAGCGCACCGCTGCAACTCTGCGGCGCCAACCCTGTACTTGGACCACCAAGACGCGCACTCGATCGTCCCGGCGTCACCGCTACCTGCGCGCCCACGAGCACCCCCTTCCGCCCCGCCCCAATCACCAAACCTTCCTTGCTGCATGTGGAAGTCCTCGAACTGCCGACAGGCAAGGAGGTAATCCGCACCCTCCAACTCGAAACCCGTCTGCGTCAGAATGTACGTCTTGGCTTGCGTCACAAGCCAAGCATGGTACTCCTCCACCTTGCCGAAAAATATCGAACATGTCGCCTGCGGGGGTTCAGTAAGAACCCTGGGCAGTGGGCCGGCTCTAGCATGTGCTCCGTGCGGGCCTGCACACGCCTGATGATCCGGTCTGCGATCGAGGACCCCAAAGGAGGGCATGCCTCCTTCACCCGCTGCACATGATCCTGTGCCCACTCGAGCATAAGCGACATTAACTTCCATCCACAATCCATCCGCCGGAGCAACTGCATCACGGGCTCCATGATATGGACGATGGTGGCCACCCTCTGCCTATGTGTCTGATATTGGATTCATAGGGGGTTTCCCGTTGAACCCCTGTTACAACTCCGCACTAAACCGCGTTAGAACGGGGTTCAACTCGACCAGCGAAAATTTGTTTCGCTAGCAAGAAATAATCAAAAAAATAATAAAACAAATACAGGGGTGTAAATTATTTTGCGCTCGACATCCCCATATTTTTAGTTTTATTTTTTTAGCATTTAAATTATTTTTAAAAAATCAAAAGCCTAACCACACTCAAAACATATCGATTTTTTTTTTTCTACATGTATTACCCGAAAAAGTAAGGAGATTTTGGTTCCCCTCCTCCTCTCCTTCAACCACCAGTGCCTCG